GTGCTCCTGTGTCTGTTTAAGCTGCTACTTTTGAAGGAGCTATTATGACCATAAAGAAGAATAACCTTCAAATATTCTACCTAGGAGTAACAGCCAGGTAGTTCCACATGTTTTTATCATTAGCAGAGCATTTCCCATACATAGTTCATCTGCAGTTCCTGTGTCTTCCCAGTAGCAGGAGTGGTTGATGAACGCTTTACTCCCCAGGCCTATGATGATGACAACATGCTGTCAGGTCAATTCTGGTGTACAATTACCTTTTCCAGGATTTTCTAGGTACAGAGTACATGTACAGTTTACCATGCTGTTCTTCTGGGCGAGTATTCAAGAATTGTGTAGCATGTCTCAGGCATCATAGGCTGGCTCTTCTACAAGGCATGGTGCAAAATCAAACTCCTGGCCCCTGGCTCAGGAGATCTGATCACTGAGCTATCAAACCAGTTAGGCCTCAGATATCACTTTATTAATTTACCTATAGTAGTCTGTGACATGCGAAACCATTTATTTTAAAGTAAAATCACTAACTTCTACTTGCAGAGTGCCAGTGTTACAGTTTTTGTTTATATGTTCTCAATTTATTATGCACTTCAGTCTTACAGTGTCTTTAAATTATCCCAGCTTAATTAATTCTGAATCCAAATGTAAGGTGCTACTTGTTAAATCTGAAGTATACCAGCCAATTTTGGTCCAATTTCTTTTTATTTGGGGGCCATATTTCAATGCTCAGTTACATTTTACAGTATCAAACCTTTCATAACATTCTTATGCCCTTGGAAAAACGGTTATATCTTTAAAAGGGAAAGGAGAAAAATACTAATATTCCAGCACAAGTTCATACATTTTTAACTTATTGTCCATAATTATGATAATATAAAAACTCTACATCTTGGATTAAACTTGTTTATTATTTCTGTAGAAAAAAAATCTTTTTAATTGCTGAGCATCTTTTAAGTTACAAAGCTGATTCCTTACATTGCTGAAGTCATGAAAATGTTGGGCCTTCAAATAACACTTTTAAATGAGCCAGACATTTCTAATTCCTCCATTGAGATATATGAACTTATTTAAACATTCCAACTAAATTTATAAATCCCTTTAAATGTTTTGGGATTTTTAAGAAATAAATGCACAGTACTTGTAACCAAAGTTGTGATATCAACTAAAAATCAGCAACTCATTGTGACAAAATTTTAAAAATAGATACAATAAGATTAAAATATTACATTCCACAAAACCAAATATACCTGTGGTCAAATAGATTTTTAAATACCTGTAGGTCACTTTCTTAGAGTTGTTTCATCAGGCTTGATGGGTAAATGAATGAAACCAGTGAAGGAGAGAGAAACCTGATTTTTAAAATTAATAGCACATGAAGTAGATCTTGAAAATCAAAGTGTAGTAGAATTCAAAATATATTTTTCTGCAAGATTTTTTTAAACTGCATCACAGGGTACAGTGCCCTCACAAAGCCACTTATAAGACTAAAACTCAGGGAAATAAAATTATCATCTTAACATTTAGACTATAAAACTACTATGACACAAAGAGAAACAGCAAGCACAGCACATTTCAACCAAAATCAGGCTAGAATAAATGCTTCTTCAGACCTCTTTTTTAAAAAAAAAATTAAATTGGCTTGAGAAATGAATGAACAGCCAATGTAACTGTTACAGAAGAAATATAGCATAACAGTGCTTAGCTCTCACAACCAATTTGCCTATTGCATTCTGTACAATCACAGTTTGTAAATGTCTTCAGGGTCAGCCCAACATACAATGCATTACAGTAATCTAAGGCTGCAATTACACAGCAGGAAAATGTGGTTTGAGATTGTGGTGTGCAGTTTTTCAAGTCAGGTTTCTAAATCTGAAATCTCTGTAGCTGTCCAGATGATAAACAATTGGCAGGAATCGGCAGAGGCAGAGAACAGTGTTTACATGGAACTTCAACAACAGAAGCTGCCTTTGACAAATTGCTAACTGTGCTAGACAGAAATTTCCACTTCTCTTATTTATTTATTTGTTTGTTTATTTATCTATTTATTTATTTATTAGATTTTTACCCCCGCCCCTATAAACAATGTCTTCTCTCTC